TGTTAATACTTCTGACTAAGTAGGTATCAAAATCACTTTTTATTACAAAAAATAAAACACTTTCGTCCCACCAAGTTTCAGTTACTTCATATAGATCACTTTACGTTTTCGGTAGCGTACATAAGCTCGGTGAGATTTTCCATAACGCTCCCGGCTGATGTGCACGTCTAATCGTTACTTAAAGTGGTTATATAAATACCTTAAGTATTCGAGTCTTGAATGACATAGGAAGCCCATCAAAGGGCAGAAACCTGTAAAGAATATAATGAACACTATTGAATCATGTTATCTGCACTTACACAGACTTTCCTAAATATAAATACTGGATTGGTACTCTGTAAGATTGGCGATCATGTCTTCCACATTTGCATTCGGTGTGTGATGATAATATATTCATAACACATTCTTACAATAGCTTTGTCCACAGCTTTTGTCCATCGCAGAGGCGGTGGAGCGTTCGTCGCAGAAGCGATTATTTTTATTTTTTGTTTGTATTTCTGTCCAGAGCGTAAACAACTTTAATGATGTAAAGTAAAAAATACTTGAATATGTTTACATGTAGCCAGAAAGTCATAAGGCCGTCATGAAATTAACCGTGCTTGACATGCAGCGCTAAATGCATTATAATCCCATTCAAATGCAAGCATGATTTTTAAGAGACATTTAAACATTATTTCTGAATACAGACTATATGAATTAAGTAAATTTTGATATTTGCCCTGTCATTAGTTATTATAAGAAAAATAACATGTATGTTCTGCTCAAGAAATAACATGCGTCATTTATTATGTTTCTATCTGAACGGGAATAAACCGCTTTCATGGAATAATGGAATAAATATGAATATTTGTATCTCTTTATGAAAAAAAAACCTCATGCTCAAGATTTTCTAAATGAAAAATATATGCAATATTATAGACCTTTTTACAATACGATTCTTCCCTAGTAACCGATGTTGCATTTCGCGCATGCGCATTCTGCGTAGGACAAAAGCAATATAAAATTGACAACAGTTTATGATACTTTAATGCTTTAATAGTCGTGAATACATGTTATGTCAACCAGAAAACAGTAAATATGGGGTGACTTTAAGCGGTACGTACTTGAAACGTTAATTGATATTTACAACTGATATAATAAATATGCGGGACTAATAATCCAATGGTCAAAAGCCGCATACAAAAATCGTCAGTTTAAGGTATCATTAGACGCTTTTTTCATCCGTAATTTAAATTTAAACAGCAGGGTGTTAAAGATTAAATTTTATTACCTTGTATTACATAATATTACACAATGTGTATTGTACACTTCCTTTGGATTGGCCAGACGGTAAGTGTCGAACAGATTGACACGCGACCTCGATTGTTTCTTTCCAGCTAGTTTATACAATATCATTCAACCGGGACGTTTTAGAACCATGACATAGTTAATCACGTACAATTATGAAAATCGTAATTAAAGTAACTTTTATATATACCGATCTCATCAATGTTTATTGATTTTGTGAAGTGACAATTAGTGTGACTTGCATTAAAATATATAAACATGTGTTACGAGGAACCGGATAAAATGTGTCATTTCACTTTCTTTAAAGATTTTGAGAAAAAAATATTTATCTACTAAAAATATATTTATGTGACTTAAAAAATTATCTGTTTTGCATTACAGTCAAATAAAGGATAAAATCAGGTAAATTGAACACTAAAAATATATTATCACCGGGCTTATACTGACTTTCTTCAGATTGCTAATTAACCTCGATTTCATATGTTATAAAAATTCTTTTATCTTATTTATGAACTATTTCAACAACAATTTAGTTGACTCCCATTTGAATAATAGATATGATTCTACATTTTCTTTAAAAAAAATAAGAAAATCTCAATGTCAGGTCCGTGACCGTGAGGGGGAATTCTTAAACAATTTACTTTTCCATGCCTTTTTATGGCAAATTTGGCCACAAAGCTTTAAAGAAATCTATTTTATTTTGGTCAAAAGCTATTTTATATCATTTCCTACCTTTTACCTTAAACAAACTCGGAATTGTCTATGAACTTCTTCTATATTCCTATGTAAGGCTATGCTTTTTCTGCCCTACGCAGATTGCGCATGCGCGGGGAAATACTACTTCCGGTCGATTTTTCATAGCAACGAACCGCGTCGTAAAAAGGTCTATAGATGCCAGGGGCGTACCTCGGTTTATTATGAGTGTACGCCGAGTGCCAATTTTTTGACAGAAGGATCGCCAGAGACTTATATATCAAATATAGCTATGTGCTATAACTAAGGATTTAGTGGATATCTAAGCTAATTGTACTACTATTGTCTTTATCTATAGTTATGAAAATAACATCAAGTACATATATTGAATGTCAGAGAAAAAGCACGAAGTCTATCGTGAACACTGTTTTAAATAGTTTAAAAGTTATTTGCTTTAAGAATCAAAGCACAGAAGGCGCTGAATTTGTTTGGGTCTCAGAATGTCAGAAAGGTGAAGGTTGTGAGATTATAAAACAATTTAATTTTGTAGAGTGCCACCAATGCTTTCCAGCGTTTTAATTGTAGTAGATTGGCTATAAGACTAATTGCAACACTGATATTCAATCCAATGTTTATTTGACGTAAACAATTTGAAAAAAAAATGAGTTGCCTTAACTGGGATTTGAACTCCAGACCTCTCTTTACTAAGCGAGCGCACAAACCCCTCGGCCACGGTGAATTTGTATATTAACGGCCTGAAGAAAACCATATTATTCTAAATTAGGGTTTGTAACGACGCTAACTGTTGTTTAACACTTGTGTAAATAATCATGGTGCTTACTATAAGCATGTATATCTATAAAGAATAAAACAATATTAGAAATCTTCGACCATTCGGGAATTATTTTGCTTGAAAATTAATGCGCCTGTCGTGTGACCATATTTACGCAGTGATTTCCCCTGAATTTTCGGCCTTAGTGTTACATATAAATGGAAGTAACCGCTTCAAAAAAGCGCCTTCTCCAAATCCCTCCAGAGGCGTGCACGTCGCGGAGAAGGCACACGGCAGGTCAAGGTCAAGTCATCTTAAGTACCAGAGGTGATTGGTTGACCTGTCGTGACTAACTCTGGAGGGTGGCGCTAACAAGAGCCAAAACAAACACACACACACAAAAAAGCGGACTACTTTCGGCATTTGCAATTAACAGCATTAGACTCTGAAATTTCGCTACCATTATTTGTTTGGTCTGACGACCCAAACAAATAAAAACAAAAAACAAAACATAGCCAGGTGTCTCTCTTGTAAAAATGATGGGTTTTATTTCCTTTTGTAACAAGTTTAGTTTTTTCTTTGTTATTTTCTTTTGTTTCACCATAACTTAACGTGAGATTTAATCAATGAAAATATTCTTTAAAATGATCTGTATGACTTTAATACAAACACAACAGCTTAAATGTTTAGTGTAACGAAAAGATATCGTATTCACAGCTAATATGTAGTATCGCACGATCATTTAGCTTCCTTAAAATATTTTTAATGCGTATTATGTCAATGTTGTAGACAATAAATATTGTCTTTAACATTTTTGTTCTCAACTCTAGTCTTTCAATTTCCATTCGAAATATTTAAGTTATTTCACTACGAAGTTAAATGTCTCACGCACATAAAGCAATGTTGGTATGAAAAGACTCGTCAATTTGTTTTCTAAAGTCGGCGCAAATAAAAAAATTTAGACGTAATGTGTCTAAATGGTTATACATATAGTATAGTGATATATTTTGTAAATACTGGTATTCTTTTTTACGGTCAAATAAACAAAAGTTGAATTTGGTTTGTGACGATGGAATAGCAATAGTTCACAGCAAAGATCTGATTCACAGTACATTATTTGAAATGAATATAAGTTGAATGAGTATTCAAATAAGGTAACATCCTAAGCATACCTGTAGAATCAATTAGCAGCTACGAATATTTTGATGATCTACGCCCAAATTAATGATTTCATTTTTGATTTTTTTTTTAAACTTTTTCTTTTTAAACGCCAGTACGTATTGGCGTATCGGTAGGTTCGCCACTGGATGCACTGAAATTGCATCAAATGCACTTTATCAAGTTTGATGTGCCAGTAAAATTCTAATTTAAAATTTGGGATCTATTACCAGGTACATCATATTTGGAATTCGTTGTAACCATGTTATTGTTTCTTATTTGGGACTAATATATGAGTTTGTTTTAGGGAAAAACTGCTTATCATCGTGTCCGCTTTTACCATATACTAGTATGAATTATTTTGCAACATAGTCTTCTGATAAAATGTAAATAGCTGCAATCAGGAATATGGAAATTTCAGATATATATTTGGTAAACAGAAGTTACTAATTGAATGCGTCATTTTTTCTGAAGAAAAGAAATAGTCTGTATAAACATAACAAGCTTTTTAAGAGAAATTTTTGATACGATTTTACGTAGAGCATGTGTGACTGTGTGACGGATCTGGTATAAACTTTTTTTACAAATGAACGTTTTAAACTGTTCCGCTGTGTTAAATGAATGTTGTTTTCCTTTTCTTATTTTCTGCAAGTTAACTGAGTTTCATCACCAAATATAATTTAAATTCCTATTGGAACACGTGATGGTAGAAACTGTTGGACATATTCGTATTTTACTATATCAAATTTCAAAATGTTTTATCGAAATAGATTTCTTTTTTAAAAAAGCAATAAATAAAACTGTTTTAAAGGTTTAAACTGAGATTTTCTTATCTAATATTTACACGGGTAGCTTTTCTTGTCCAGGAAGAAAACTTACTCGTAAAAGGAGCAAAGATCAAAAATATGTTAACAGAAACTGTTTGATGAGTTCTTACATTAAAATTTTGATAAAAATTCTCAAAAAATAATAATATCAATATAAATTTAAATGATAACTATCTATCACTGCAAACGACTGTTATTTTAACATATGGTGATTTGTTAGTCACAAAGTTTTAATATAGGTTGTAAAGGAAAGTCAAGACCCGTGGGTTTTTTTAGTTAATTGTTTTGTTACATATATAGAGTGATCAATCACTTAGTGAGTCACAGAGAACATACTACACATGTTATCTCCCTTCCTGCCACATACGGCGGGCAAGCTAAACTTCCACTGCATGTTGCTTCTACTAGATAAAGCCGGTTATCTTCATCATCTGCGTCCCCATTTACAACCTTTTCCGGTCGCCTATCTAGGCAAACGTACTCAGTAGCACTTGCGTCGCCATGGTAGCCAGTGACGAGATAACCACTGTATTCCATCGTCCAACCTTTGGAACATATGTTTCTTCCCGGAACCATTACTGACACACGTCGTTTCGTGTAGCACACAGCACATGGAGCGTTATGGTTGTACATGTTATCTCCGAAAAATTCTGCAGCACCCGTTGATCTTTGGTTCCAGAATTGATACTCTACACCAGTGATTCTTCCGAGACTGTTTACTTTTCCATCCCTATATTGATCCCAAATCGGTGTGTCGGTTAAACAAAGGTAATTAGAGCCAGCCCCTGAATGACTCTTATCCGATCCAGCCATAAAACCTTAAACAATTACAGACAATCGTCTTTAAGTTAATGTGTGATAAGATTACATATTAAACTTTTGAAGCATGATCGATATGGTTAAAAAACAAGTTGAATTTATTGTTTTCTGGGCATGAAAGTAACACAATAACTATACTGTATTGGTATCAATTTATTTATTAATCAGATGCCCATTTATTTCATTTATCAAGTGCATAGGCATTCAGATTATTTATAAAACGTAAGGGTATTTGGTTAATCATGAAGATCTTTTTATAAGGCTATTTTGTGAGTTCATGTCCCATCTCGACAGAAGATGTGATATGTTGGTAAGCAAAGCTCTGTGAAATTCAAGGCTATACAAGTTCATCGTGAAGACAAAAGTCGTTGACAAAACAGATGTTAAACGTATCACATACAATTTAGTTAAAAAAAACATCTTACCAGTATATACAAGGCTAGTTTCATTATCAGGGCAACTCTTGCGACCCCATCTGATATAAGTATCACCCGCAGCACCCGCAGCACCCGCAGCATCTGCAATATATTTAACCCATTGGTAAGATAAACAACTCTCATAATTCTATCATCTTCATAAAAACTAATAAAAATCTTTAACATATTGGCGGAGACATAGATATCATTATCATCTACATCTCTGATATTGGTGCTATAATAATATTTTCCTTCGTAAGTATTGGGAATTTTATAATTTCATTAATCTGACATATCACCAAATTCAGCTGTTTATATCGATATTTTTCATCTTTTGTAAATTATATAATAAAGAATGTCTACACCCAAAATGGCTGCCTTTTTTGGCAAGGGATGTAAATATTGTAAAAATGGAGTAATATCTTTGTCGTATTTAATAAAATAAAATAAAAGATAATAAAAAGTTAAAAACGGAGTGCCGACATAAAACCTTATACCTATTTGAGCATATTGTTATTTTGAAAATATTGTTTTTCAATTTGATTGTCCATTTGTATACTAAATATATCTTTGAAGAGATAAAGTTGATTTATTCAGCGCTATCTATATGTAAAAGACCTTTTTACGAACAGCATGCAATTTTATTGTGATCATATATAAATTTTAATAAAACATTATTATGTTTAATTAATACGATTTAAAAGTAGAAATGCTACCTTTACTTTCCAGACGTTCTATTTTCTTGTTAGCCGCGGATACTTCTTTTCGTAATGAAATCAACTCTTCCAATATTTGGTAATCCAAGCCTTTCAGTTCATGTACAGTAAAAGTTGGTTGAACTAAGATGAACATGAAGTAAATCTTCAATAAGAAAATTATATTTTTCATTCTCCCTTGTTTTGAATTAACAGCTCCTAGTACGTCTATATAAGAGTCTTGTTAAAATCCAACTGACGATAGAAACTGCCTTAAGTTAAGGAGATACTTTTGTTGATACTTTTTTGTTGATATTTATCTTCCTATTTCTTTTCTTTTTAAAATATTTGTTATCTCTTACCACATCTTGTTTCATGTTTACCTACTATGACACGTTTCAAAATAACGCAGTTGAACAAAACAAAACAAAACAAATAAAGAAAAACAACTAATGAACAAAACAAATCAATTCATGAACATGTGAGCAATAAATAAATTAACGATGTGTTTCAAGTGAATTTAACATGGAATTTATTATGGAGGCTATTCGTTGCCAAAAATCCAGCCTTTGAATACTTCGGTTTTACTAAACAGATTAGTAAAAATCTAATTGTCGATCCGAGAGTTACATACTGCACTGGTATTAAGCATTTTGATTATCTCGATTTGATAAAATGGAAGCTGTAAATATGCAACTTAGATAAATTGCAAACTGTATTTATTAATGTATAACTTCAAAGTCGCGATATGTAGAAATGTAAACGATAGAACGTACACAACACGTTTAATGCTGTGTATCATGACGTTGAGAATGTAACTGAATCAACTTGACACATTCAGGTTTACAACAACACACTTTCCTTTTACATTCTAACGCGAATAACATTAAAAAAAATTGTAAACGATTTTACAACTTCCATTTATGTAATTATCACGGAAATAGACGAAAATTAATAGGTGGAGCCAATTTTCACAAAGAGAGGTAACTCTTGCTGGTACAAAAATATTTCACATACATCAACTGCATTACAGTTGACTTTAAACTTCCTCTGATTTTGTTAAAACGTATTCTAGAAAAGGGTATTCAAGTAATGCAAAATTGGTTAAGATATAATGTAACAATGTAACAACGTTTATACTGATAATGAGCATAATAATATTCAAAAACAAAAGTTAGTGAATTAACATAAGGGAATGTTTCCGATATATAATGACACACACCATAATTTATCGATATAAACGAAAGGGTTTGTGTGCCTTCAAACGTTACACGATATTATTCATACATTCAGCAAATAGTACTAGTATGCGATACATGAAACTCAATTTTGGCATCACGAATAAAGAGAACTGAACAGTAAGCCTGTAAAGAACTATGTCGGGTTGAAGAAAAACCCATAAGTGTATAACCACGAAACAATTCAAAGTTTACTATCGATAAATCCGTTGTATAACCAAAAACTTGTGAATATGTCCCAATTTATTATTAAAATAAATATTCAGTGTATCCTAGCATCTCTGTTTACCTCCATTGGGAGGTATTTTGAGTCATAGGATTTGATATAGCCTTGTAACACCGCACTTTGGGGTCAAACGCACTTTGGGGTCCGACCCTAAAGTGCGTTAAACTTCGCACCGCACTTTGGGGTCAAACGCACTTTGGGGTCAAAATGGAAAAATTGACCCCAAAGTGCGTTAATATGCTACATATCAACGCACTTTGGGTTCCAGAGGTCTAAAGGTGTAATCTGAGTTCTGCTTAAATACTGAATACTGACTTATTTTCGATCTGCGACATTGAAATATTTGAGGTGGAGTTCAAGATGGCGGTCAATACTTTGATGATGCTTAAGTGATAAAAGTTTCATTAATTTTACCACTTGAAATATCCAAAAATTGTGTTCATATAACAAAATAACGGTGGCATAAAAGTGACATTTGCATTTTTTTATTTAAGTTTTGCATACATATTTTTATTCAAGTGTTGCATATATATATATTTTTTGAGTTTTGCATTCATATTTTATTGTTGTTTTTCGTACATATTTTATTTTTGTTTTTCGTACATATTTTAGCCAATCAAAACAGCCTTCAAATCTCATAACAGCCCATAGTTGAGTATAAAACTAGCACAGTGGTTTGGTCACATTTCGGCCCATTTTTGGAATCGGTCCAGTCGTTTTTGGCCGCGCAAGTCTGGTTTCGGCCGACCTTTTTCGACCCATTTTTTAAATCATATAAATAAGTAGTAGTCCGTACAGGCAGTACTCAAAATATCAACTTTTTAAGTAGTCGCACATTAAGAGCGGAGCTTCAGAATAATGTAAAATTCTCACTGGAGGGCAGTGTGGGGTATCGATCCCCCCGAGGGTTAAAAATAACATTTTAAAGGCCCATTATGCTTTTATTTGTTTTTCTTAAAAGCTTTTTATTTTGATGTTCTTTTATATTATCAAAAAAATACACATTGGCGAATTACCTGAACCATCTTTTTCATCTGTTGCTTTTTGGCAATGATGAGTACAGTTATAGTGAATAAGTATTTTACGTGTATATGGCAGTCAAATACTACATTGTTTTGACAACTTTTATAACAAATAATTTCACATTTATCGCTACTTTATTCGGGTAACAAACATCTTACATTTCTCTGATACCATTATTTAACATTATAAAATTCATGTTTGCTCTTTCTAAAGATTTCCCATTAAAAAAGCCTCTGGCGAACGGTTGTTACGGAGCTTACAAAAACCCTTAAGTTTGTTGATAAGCTTAATAATATATTTGTAAAATTCACTTTTTATAGTCTGATCTAAAAACTTGATGTTTCACCAGAACCTTGCAATAGAGTATATTTATAGTTCTTTGGGAAAAAAATACTAACTGCATTTTATTTCATTCCCAACATATTTAAAGTGGGGCTCAACATGGCACCAAAAGTTATCAAGTAAATGACTGACAGAACGGGATATTTTTCGCAGCATCTTTTAACTTTAGGAATACACAATTTCTGTACTAGAGTTTTTTGAACGGTGGCATAAAAGTGACTTTTGCAACTTTTTTTTGTTTTTGATTTTCAAACACTTCGCCATCGGTAAATTACAGTACCCCATTTGCAAACGCCATTTGCAAATACCAACATTTTCATTTTTGGAGGTATCAAAATGATAACAACACTTTTTAGTATATAACTATATATATACATGAACATTTATATACATGTATATATATTTTTTTTCTAAATCAGTGGAATATAAGGACCTATTTAGATGTTTTATTGTGCATTATTGTAATACACCAGTCATTTGTAACCACCTCCCTTGCCCCCAGGGGAGTGCGGGTTAAAATAGAATCGTGTTTTAATGTCTGCACTGTTCCGGGGAATAAGGCAGAAATGTTATTATCTAAATATCCCCCCTTAGAGCGAAGATTTTACCAGTGGTCGGCTTGGTTTAAAGTCAATGCCCCCCCCCCCTCGCTATTCTCAGGGATGGGGTTGAGTGGTGCATATTCATGGAATAATAACTGATCACCAATCAACAGCCCTTTCCAATTAGACACTTATATGATAATACATAATAAAAAAAACAATAATTATATAAAATACATATTAAAGCCGCATCTACACCTTGTCAAGTTTCTTATGTGTCACATTTAGCTAAATAAATGGGTATTTTAATATATTATCGTGCAAATTTTTTACTGAAATGTCTTACAGAATTTATACCTTTGTCTATGCTAAGACTATCATATTTCTGTAAAATATGTAAATAACAAACGGGAAAATGATGCATTTAGCTAAAAACAATTGAGTAAATGAAGGGTGTACAATCTTTTAAAATAAATGGAAAAGTTGAGAAAAACATATTTTAAGCTTAATAATTGATACAAATTCTTTATTTGGTGATTTATTTAGTGAAAGTTCTTAACTTACTAATCAAGACCATTTAAATCCCTATTGATTCAGGGCACATGTTTGTGTCTATTTCATACTTTGATTTTTGTTTACCATTGTTTACCATATTTAAAACATAATGAACATAAATTTTCTCTGACCCCAAAGTGCGGTCGTTTGCCTGATGTAAAAAAAATGCATATGTACCTGTTTAACGCACTTTGGGGTCGAAATTGAACCCCAAAGTGCGTAACGCACTCTGGGGTCGGACCCCAAAGTACGTAACGCACTTTGGGGTTGGACCCCAAAGTGCGTTTGACCCCAAAGTGCGGTGTTACATAGCCTTTTATTATTAAATATGTGTAAGCTGACGCATTGTACTGAATCAATAGCAACTCTAAAATCTGTGTATACATGCTGTCAATAGTTGTTACCTAGACTTGCTGTCAATCTGATCAAAAGCAGAGAACTATTTGTGTGTACATGAAATACTATACAGAATATGTATTATGGCTTTTTTAGAGATAAAATAAACAAGTTATGCATAAATTGATAATCAACATACATACCTTTGCACTCATTTAAATATTATTATTGAAAAAACGGAAAAATATATCTATACAGTATGGTAAAAATAAAAAGGGTACATACAACTTTGGTTATAATTTTACTATTGTTAAAAGTTTTTTTCCTGTCAAGTCATACGCTAGAATTATTGTTACTAATGTAATAGTAAATGCTACTACTAGGAAAGACAACAGCCATAATTTGGTCTGTATTAGTAATTAGTCGTATCAAATTCTCTATCAGATGTTGACTTGAAAATTTGAAAGTGGTAAGGTTAACATCAGCTTAACTGTAAATGTTACTCATTCCTATGCAAATTGGGATAACCTCAGTAAAACTTATTGGTCGTTATATATAGTCTTATCAATAGTTTTTACTTCCTTGAAAAATATTTAACCTTAGGCAGTAAGTAGCCTGGTGAGTTTTATTATTATTATTTTTTAGTTTCTATTTCTAGGAAATGTGGTATCTACAACGTTTTAAAACTTATATGCCTATAATCCTTTAAAGTCCGCTGATGTTGATTGTATAAAGGCATAGAATGGCAATCATGCAAGTGAATTACAGTATGTTTGGTGAATAACTTAACACCTAAAATGTGTGGCAAACGGAAACTACGCCGCTTCTTGTCGCCGACGGAAAATACCGAAAATGAGCGGATAAATACGTTTATTTACGATGATGTAGTGGGCGGGAAAATGGGCGGAGCTTATTTTATCTCCTATTGAAAAACGTGTAACGCTGGATTATGCTGATCCGAATCATGATGGTTCGACAATGTAAAGCTAAGAATGTAATTTCTGTTTTGTCGGCGTATACACGAACAATGAGTATTCGAACACTTG